ACGATAGTGGAGTTCATGTGAAGAATCCACTCTCGCCAGTTTATTGTACGCGCCGGCCATCGTTGTACAATTTCCACCGGGAATCCGTATTTGATCAGGAGGAAGAGGAGGAAACGGGTCGTATTTGGCCTTGTTAGATTAGTGACTTTCCCCTTTCAAGGAGTTTCCCTAGTCGGCTGCGCCAATGATCGAAGGTGTCTCTCGTCCTACCCGCCGCCCGCCCCCCCTTTCCCCGCGACCAATAGCAAAATTCTTGGAGAATCCAGGTAGAAGGCCGAAGTGTTGAGGGTCGTAGTGGTAAGTTGTGAAAAGTGGTCCTGCCGAGAAGTGCTCATCTGGAGGTGGTCTGAGTGGTGCCGCCTCCCCACAAAGCCCCGATGATACTGCTTTGGCGTTGGCTGTCTTTGGCCAGAGAGGCAAGCGCTGTTAGAGGAATTTGGTCACAGTCAGATAGTTACTCAAATCTTCTGATAGCGTGCGCCCTTTGCCACTGTAGCAGCACCCTATACAGACAATGGGTTTTAGTATCTCTCCATTATGCCACGTAATTTTCTTCTTTTTGAGGGCCGAAAATTGTGACTTCGAAAAAGTTGAGAGAGTTATGGGATACCGTAATATTTTATGTTACCTAGTGCCACAGCGACCAAATCGATTTAACCATTTTCAGAGGGTTAGGATCTACTTTCGCTAGAGATGTAACATTTTCTATGATGTACTTCCCTTTATTTGCTTACCTAGACTCACTGGTAGGTATATGGTATTCTGTTTAATCCTTAAATGAAGAAGGTTTTTCTAAAAACATGATTTTACCAGGGACCTCGTAAAAGTGATGGAAGCGGCGACGCAGTTTTTTGGACTTCTTTTGTAGCTGGTCTAGCAGCAGGAGCCTCATCGTCGTTTGCGGTCACTCCCCTTGATGGTAGGTTTTCTTTTCCCTATCAAGAACCTTATTTTGAGCATAGTCTTTTGTCGATTGCAAGTCGTTTGGTGTACATTAATAAACCAAGGCTACTATATAGTTTGATGGGTATTATAATCGGCCCGGGTGCTGGTAGCAGTGGTTATAGGGACCTGGGGAACTCATCTTCAAAAGACAAACTGTGCACTCATCTCCAGGTGCTTCCCATGTGGAAGGTGAATGGTCCGGCTGCAGTCGCATGCGATTTTCTCTGTTCAAAACAGGCACGGGAGAGCTGGGAAGCTGGGTGTAAGGTGCCCGGGTGCTGCTCCTACTACCGGCGGACACAGGCGTGTGTCTCGGAACTTGGCTTCATACCAAATCCGCGCAGCTAACGGCTTTCAGCGGCGAAAGAATGATACAGAAAAGGAGAGGGCCAGCGAACAGTGAGAGTCGTTTGGCTATGTTCCTGGCTGGCCGTAGGACGGCAGCATGGCGCGGTCTGGAGACGCACCGGTGCTAACACCGTTGCAGCCCTGTCCGCGTTGATGGACGGCATGAGCAGGCGCGCGGCGGCCAAGATCACTCCTCATAAACGCAAAGACGCTGTCGCAGGTGACGCGATAGGTCTTCAACAGTGATGCAAATATGACAATAATATTATCACATTGAAGGGATGTTTTAGCATGCGTTGATGATTGAAAGCTGGGACGGGGTTTGAGCAGCAATTGGTACTACGCCGAACCGGGTGCGAGCTAAGCCGTCGGGCAAGAGTTCTACGCCAAGTTTCGTGGTACTTTTATTGAATACATTACAGAAAGCAACATGGTTTTAGGGAGACCATTAGGCAGCGTTCAGACTTCGCGACTGCAGCGCTTCGGTCGCGCGTTTGACGGATCGATGCCATCGAAAGCATGCGCATCGATCGCGTCGAACGCGCGACCGAAGCGCTGCCGTCGCGAAGTCTGAACACTGTCTTAGTGTGCACAACGCATCTTATCCCATCCACTCGTCGAGGTATTAGAGCGCTGACTTCTTTTGGGTGGCGGGTGACGGGACCCGCGGCGACTCTCCAATGCCCTTACCCGTGTAAGACATAGACGTAACTGATTCGATGCTCAATCTCGCAGAACAGATAGAGTCGCAGAGAAAAACGAGCCCTGTGAATTTTCCTCTCCCCCTCCCGTCAGCGCCGACATTCGAGCGCATGCATAGCCTCAGTATGGACCGTCAGTGTTGTACTCTCTTGAGAAAGTGTGGATTCTAGTGACCGGCTTCTCTCTTCGTGAAACCTAGATGGTATTTAGATTCTGGGCGCTAGTAGAGTACAGGGAACCCGTGCAGCGACACAACTTATTGTAAGTCCGCTCATCTGCGTTCTCCCGCGGAGACAGTGATCCGTTCCTGTTTTCAAGCCCAGTTTCAAAAGGATGCAGACGACCAAAACCCGTGCGGCCGCTTTTCATTGTGCCGAGGAGCGGGCTTACGGCGATTAAAGCTACACAAAAATGACCTCATTTGTGAAGTTCGTGCATGGACCACTACATCATGCAACAAACGGTTTCCAAAAAGTTCACCATGTCCTGAACGACCTCCCTTGTTAGTTCCGCTGCCACTTGACTCTTCACAACTACAGTAGCCTTGATTTTGATATCCGTGGGTAGAAAGGCTTGGTAAAGAGATAATGCTCATGGACGGTATATGAGTAATGTAATGCCGGCAGCCATTGCCATACCTGCGCTCAGGGCGAAAGCTTTACAAGAAGTAATGTTCGGCGAACAAAGTGTTATTACTCAAGAGGGATTGTCATTTTTCTTCTCAATGAAAGCTCAGTACATGTTCTGGATAAAGGGAGCTATACGAACTTTCAAAAAGGTGCATATTTACAGTGA